TTTTTTTTTTTTTTTTTTTTTTTTTTTTTTTTTTTTTTTTTTTTTTTTTTTTTTTTTTTTTTTCTTCTTTTTCTTTTGCTGATTTGTTTGGAGGAGGAGAAGGTGGAGGTTTGTAATTGAGATTGACAGTGAAGCGAGTCTACTTTTTCCTTGTCTGCTTCTCTTCTCTGTTGCTTTTCTTCCTTATTTTACATCCCACATTCCTCAAATTTGTCTTTAATTTCAAACGTAACCCCCCAATTTCACCATTCGTTATCGCTTGAGTGTTCTTTAAAGCAAAATCCATCGCCCTCAACCTCTAATCCATGTGGGTTTTTGCTTACACCCTTTGAAATCCTTCCATTTCCATGGCGGATGAACCCCAACTAGCAGATTTTCAAACCCTTTTCTTAAATGGGCTTTCGTGTTCTTCAATTTTCTCTCTGATTTCATCGATGGGTACTCGATTTTGAGGCGTTTCTGATATGGGTTTCATTGTTCTTCTCTGATCAACGCTGTTTTTCTCTCGTTGTTTGTCTTTATCGTTTTAATCTGAAGCTCTCAACTCAGAAAATGAGGGATTTCCCATCTTGTTTCGGCGAAAATGGTGTCCAAGTAGCAGATTTCTCGTCTTCAAACAATGGTAAGACCGCTCAAAACCTTGTCACTTGTGTTTATCAATGTCGACTACGAGGGCGTTCTTGCTTGATTAGTGTTACTTGGAGTAAAAATCTGATGGGTCAAGGGCTTAGTGTTGGTATTGATGATGCTTCAAATCAATGTCTCTGTAAAGTTGATATTAAGCCATGGCTGTTCTCTAAAAGAAGAGGGTCTAAAACTTTAGAAGCTTATTCTTCTAAAATCGACATTTATTGGGACCTTTCTTCTGCAAAATTTGGATCTGGACCTGAACCATTGGAGGGTTATTATGTCGGAATTGTAGTGGATAAACAAATGGTTCTTGTTCTTGGGGATTTGAGGAAAGAAGCTTTCAAGAAGTCCAATTCCTCCCCTGTGCCTTCTTCTGCTGTGTTCATTTCCAAGAAGGAGCATATTTTTGGGAAGAAAGTGTTCTGTTCCAAAGCTCAGTTTTGTGATAATGGTCAAATTCATGATATTAATATCGAGTGTGATACGAATGGTGTTAGCGAACCGTGCTTGATTCTACGAGTCGATTCAAAGACCGTGTTGCAGGTGAAGCGGCTGCAATGGAAGTTTAGAGGGAACCACACCATTTTGGTTGAAGGGCTTGCAGTGGAAGTGTTTTGGGATGTTCATAGTTGGCTGTTTAGTGCATCACCTGGGAATGCTGTTTTTATGTTCAAAACATGTTTGTCAGCTGAAAAGTTGTGGGGAAGTCAACCATTTTGTGATCCTAATGTCTTGTCCTTGTCTTTCTCTCAGAGATTTTCAGACAGCAAATCACAATGTCTTGGTTTCTCATTGATATTACATGCCTGGAAGAATGAATAGAGGAGTGGTTTGTTGATTCTTTTCTAATTTTTTTAACAAGAAAACGAAACTCTTAGCGATCGACAGACTTTTATTGTCCCTTTTCGTGTTGATTACGTTCGATCCGATGAACCGAGTCATTTGATTATATGAGAGAGGATTTTGTTATAGTTGGTTGTACATTGCTCTGTTTGAACTTGATCATTGTTGTCAAGTATATATCTAATATTACATGCCTGGCTTTGATCTTCCCAAATCTTTAGTCGACCACCTCGATTGCTCGTAAACGTTATTTTCATAGCTTCAACATTCAACATTCTGTGCTAACGTCGTTTGCGTTGCTCCTTTCGACGATTTCCCGAGCTTCTTTGTTCTTCGTTTGTTGTAGGGCCTTCTACTGTCGCTGATAGCCAGTTTGGGTTTGGCAAGCTTTATTGTCATGAATATGAATGACTTGTTTTGGTGAAATGTCGTACTTTCTCCAGAAATCGTCACATTTGAACAACGGTTTTTTGTCGATCGCTCGATGTATTGTTCTAAATTGATCGAGCATGGCTGATGGGCTTTAGATGAAAGACCAAGATCCTTTTGCCGGTCCTTCGGGTTCTCCGGGATTCGATCGATCGTTTATTGTCCACAAGGCTCGGGTAAGACTTAAATCCATAAGTTGAGGTCCTTTTTGCTGCTTACATGATGTTCTTACATTGATGTTTTGATTTTAATCATAGAACTTCAGCAAGAACTTGTTCTGTTAATCATTTACTTGTCTTTCAATCACAGTTCTGAAGAACAGTTTCGTTGAAGATGCTCTGAAACAAATACTGAGTAGCATCTCTATAGCTCACTGTTCAAGTAAATGGATATCAGTAGCTCTAGATGATATCTATGCTTAATATTTCTTCTCTGTCTGATATGTTTAAGCCAGTACTCTTAGTTCTTATTCTCGGTACTTCGTCTTATACAATCATAGTTTCGGGATTGCTTGTATTTCGATACTGGAAGACAAAGGATGTGAAATCCCATATTGGTTGGAGAGGGGAACGAAACATTCTTTATAAGAGTGTGAAAACCTCTCCCTAATAGATACGGTTTAAAACTGTGAGGCTAACGGCGATACGTAACGGGCCAAAGCGGACAATATTTGTTAGCGGTGGACTTGGGCCGTTACAATTGGTATCAGAACCAGACACTGAGCAGTGTACCAAGTATGATGCTGGGCCCCAAGGGGGTGGATTGTGAGATCCCATATTGGTTGGAGAGAATAAAGCATTTCTGATAAGGGTGTAAAAATCTCTCCCTAATAGACGTGTTTTAAAACCGTGAGGCTGACAGCGATACGTAATGGGCCAAAGCGGATAATATCTGCTAGCGGTGAACTTGGGCTGTTATAGTATCAGAACTAGATATTGAGCGGTGTGCCAGCGAGGACGTTGGGCCTCAAAGGGGTGGATTGTAGGATCCTACGTTGGTTGAAGAGGGGAACGAAACATTTCTTATAAGAGTGTGGAAAACCTTTGTTTAAAAGACACGTTTTAAAACTGTGAGGCTGACGACAATACGTAACGGACGGGTAACGGGTCAAATTGGATAATTTCTGTCTTTTATTTTCACAGCCGTTATGAATTATGAGCACCTTACGTAGAGACTATATTTTCTATTTTTCTGCTCATCCTTCAATGGATTTAACTTTGGTTTCTCTCATTGTGAAAGCAAACTTACAGCTTCCAGAACGAAGCTGCTGACCAATTCCGCTCGTGATCGATCTTTTAAGCTGCCAGTTTGCCGTGCATATTTTAAGCTCGTCGACTGACGTTTACACGTCGCGTAGTACTTGCACAACTCGTCCTTCTTGTAAGTATTTTAAGCTTAGTATAGTTATGCTCTTAACTTATCGTTCATATTAGTAATAACTTAACATCGTATCGAAGGAAGAGGTCTTATGTTCGAACCCGAGAGCATCGTGATTCAAATTACTATCTTAAGTCCACACATAAAGGAGAGGTTAAAGATACATTTATAAGATCTTGGTTTTGTTTGGTTGCTTCTTCTGCAAATTTGTACTTCTAACATTATATCCAAACAACCGTTGAACTTGTTCATGAATTTGAAGCCTGCAAGCTCAGGTTTCTCACTTGGTTCATATGGGGTCGGGTTCGGATATGCATTCTACGAAGTCGAAGAGGAAGTTCGAGGTCGTAATAAGGTTTAGGGTAGATTTTATTTACGAGGGGTAACGGAGTATTCGTTATCTTTGGCTGGACGTAAACTCGAAAACTTGATTGAAGTTTACATTTATTTGATCCGTGAAGCTTAAATAGTATCTAATAAGTTTCTAAATTTTCAAGTTTGTGTTTGATAAGTTCTTGAACTATTAGGCACCGAGTAAAAAAGATCGTATAAATTCGGCTATGTGTCACCGTCATGTTTGTCCACAATGTGTTGTCTATGGCCGCATGTCGAATGTCCCGGTCATGCTTGTCCAGAACGTGTTGTCTATGACTCATCTTAGATAGACCTCCTTACCATTTCAAGTTGTGTCAATATGAGGGTGTATGACCACTTACCAAAATCATGTCTACACTCGCTGAGGCTAAAATGTCCCAAAATGTACTATAGGGTGATATGACTAGTTGTCACTTCTTCCTACTCCGAGTTATACGTTATTTAAGCCATAGTGTTTCTTTCTTTGTTTATAGTCATATAACGTTGATTTCTTCAGTTCTTTCAAATCGTTTTCAAATATATTTTCTCGCTCACGTTTTCTAAAAAAATTTATCGCAAACATGACTTGATATTCGAACATACACCAATATTGTATGCGACGTCCAAATTTCTCACTGCTAACTTGTTCGTTGGGTTAAAATACATTATCCTGCTACCTCAAATAAGTGCCGCATAATCGTTGTCTCATTGCCGTAAGAGTGTGATTATGACACTATGCATACATTGCTTACACCATCTTTTTAATATAATATTACGTCGTGTAATATTCTTATGTAATAACGATATAGATAATTAAAATCGTTGTTATCATTTATTTTAATAATATATCATTAAAATAATTTATATAATTAATATGATAACAAGTTAGCCATCGCATCAATTTCATCTCATTTTAAAGAAAAAAAATATCAATTATGTTATGAGTCATTTGATATTTGTTCAACAAAATAAATAAATTAAAAAATTAAAAAATCCAAAACCCGAAACCCGAAAGAAAGCGAACCGACCCGTTTTTCAGAGTGCGATCCAAGTCAAATTTTCTCTCCTCTCTCTCTTCTCTCTCTCTCTTCACTCCATTGCAGGCTTGCAGCTACTAGATCCAAATAACCGGCCGGCGACGGAACTGGGCTGAGAGGGTGGGTGCTTAACTGCATTTTCTTTGCAATTCTCGATCTCAGCCACTCTCTGAATTTCGCGAAGATGGTGAGTAAAGCAGAGGAGGCCGAATTGAATAGACTCGAGACCCAGGTCGATAATGGAGGTGGAGGTGCTTGGGAGTATCTTTCCCTCGTCAGAAAACTCAAGGTTCGCCGTTCTCATAAGGTCTTAAACCATGGATTGTCGATCTTGAATGATTCCAGAAAGCGATCCGGTCTCGGCCAAGAGGGTGAGTTTGAGCCTCTCTGTTGATTCTTCGATCTGGATATGAAGATATGTTTTGCTCTTAACGTTTATCTTGCTTTGTAATTTTTGGATTTTGGAGGAATCAACATATAATTAAGTATTGCACTGCTTTCATTGTTTATAAGAATTTGAATATTAATTTTGGATTTCTGTATCCTTGTCACTGCTCAATTGCAGATTGTAATGTAAAAATTAGCTGGACAAAAGATAATAGCTTTAAAGAAAAGAGCAACTGTAGATTCAATGCACATCTCACTAAATCATTGGATGGACTAACTTTGATTTTTGTTTTTGAATAGTTTATCAAAAGAAACTTTAAATGTAAGTGTTGCTTCATCATGTTTTTAAATTTTTTTGGCTCATACACCTTTTTGTGACTGAAATATGGATTAAACTTCTTCTTTACCGAAGTTCTTGGTCCAGGAAGCAAATAGAACTTCTTAATTTGCATATGCAGTTTCCTTTATGTATTACTGAAAAATTATATAGGTCCAGGAATTATTTTTCTCGAACAGGAACAACACGAACTTCTTTTGAAAAACAAGTGAGACCACCTCCTCTTTTAATCCCTCTTTTTGTTACTTCTGTATCGTATGGTGGAAGATGTATCATTAAAGGTTTTCCTTTCTCAATGACTAAATTTTTGCCAAAATGTTTTCGTGACTATGATTTTTTGCTCGGTGTAGAATGGACCCTGTACGAACAGGTAGCTATTGCAGCGCTGGACTGCCAAGCTTTAGATGTTGCAAAGGTGCAATTTACATTTCTTTAGTTAACTACTTGAATTGCAGATTGGTCGAGTTCATTTTAGTCTAGTCATTTGATGACGCTTGGTTTTGAGATTTTTTTTTTTTGCCTTGGATTAATGCCTTACACTCTGCAATCTATTGTAGGATTGCATAAAGGTTCTTCAGAAGAAATTTCCACAGAGTAATAGAGTTGGTATGTTAAAAATAAATTGTTAGTTTTTTCTATATTTGTATTCTTGTTTGATTTTGTAACCGAGGTTGACCCTTTATTTGTCATCTTATCTGATAATTGAACTTCCAATAACGTATGAAATACTAAGCTATGGTAAACCCAATGGTCGGGTAAAGGCGATTGAGCTGCTGAGCCTTGGATTGGAAACCACTCAACTGGCTGGCCTACTCACCTGAGCTAAATATGCCACAATGTGGCAATCTTCTTTTTGACTACCTAATGTTCTAGGGTCGACTTATTCTTTTAGCTATTTATTATAATTGCTTTGTCCTTTTCAATTCATTGGTGATTAACAATAAGGCTGCTCTGTGGTAAATGTTACCTTAGATATCCCATTCATTCTATTTTCATGGCTTACGGTTCCTTGTTATCCTTTATCATTCGCTTCACCCATCATTACATTTGTACTCAATTTTATTAAATCCGATAATATAAAAAGCATGGGCATGAACTTGTGATACGAACACAACTCGGTTGTGATAATATGTCATTTTGTAAAGAAATGAGAATATATAGACGCAACAAGGTTTTCTTACCAAAGTACATAGTTTGCAAGGGCTCTCAGGCTGAAAAGTTCCATTTTGAAGCTGTAGCAGTAAACTTCATACATTTGAAGATACAATATCTTATAAGGGTTTAAAAAGGAATTTCAATCCAATTAGCATATTTCTAAAAGATTAATATTTCATGATAAGACACAATTTTAAATTAAATCTGTTCATTGAAAATCACTTACTTTACAAAACCATCTTCTTATCATTCAAAGTTTATTTATCTTTCTAAAAGGCTTTTAGTCACATCCACTATTTGTGGATTATCACTGGGCTACTGTTAGAAGCTGCTAAAACTTAAAGGCTGGTTTTTTGTCGTTAGATCTGAAAAGGAGCTAAACTATAGATTGGTGAATGGATATGTTTGCCTGATGGTGATGCTAGAAATTCTCAATTTGAGACTAGGGAGGCACAGATGGTGGTAGCTTTGGTGCAGCCTGGGTATTTTTATGTAAATCACTTTGTTCTTGGACCGTGTAGTAGATTTTGGAGCCATCCTCAATTGGGTGTTATGCAACTCTATTTTAGGGGAAAACGTCCAACTCCTAGGAAGGTTAAGGTTTTTATTTGGTGTCTAAGTTTGGATACATATGCGAAGGTAGGCTCAAGCTAAGATTCTACTCGTGAGCGTAATGGTATGTCATGGGCTAGAGGAATGGGGAATAAACCGATCGCTTGTCCTTGTGTTGTTGCATTGGAGTCAAATCAGGCATCCCCTTTGACTGTTATCATTCTCCTGACTAAAGTGCGTGTCCTCATAGGAAATGTGTCAGTTAAGTAACCATTTCGTTTGGAAGGGAATTTTTTGGTGGACACTGTACAATTGTATTTTATATGATTTAACTATAATCAGTGGCAGTTTTTGCGACTTTATTAGATCCTGGATCTCAGAATCCTCAACCTGTTTCTCACATTGTGAATGGAATTTCTGTTGATTACATCAGCAAATTGCATATTGTTTATATAACAGATTCTGAGTAGATAAACATTACAAGCACTTTGATGGATTATGGGGTTGCCTTGTCACAGGGAGGCTAGAGGCTATGTTGCTTGAAGCAAAGGAATTGTGGGCTGAGGCTGAGAAAGCTTACGCTAGCTTTCTAGAGGAAAATCCATGTGATCAAGTAATTTTTTTTAACTGTTCTTTGTGAAACGATATTTTTATTTTTTCCCGTGCAATTTTTATTTAATGATGGTATTCCACTATGAGTATAATCACTTGAGATATATGATGAGCTATAGATATAGCTATATAAGCCTTTCAGATATTTCATTTTCCTTCCTTGCACTTGAACAGATAGTACATAAGAGGAGGGTTGCCCTGGCAAAATCACAAGGCAACATTGCGGTGGCTATTGAATGGCTTAACAAATATCTTGAAACGTGAGCAGATTTTTGCATACCTCTTATTTGAAATGCTTAAAAAGGCGTCTTTCAGATTTCTTTTCTCCCTTTATCGTAGATTTATGGCCGATCATGATGCCTGGAGAGAACTGGCTGAACTATATGTATCTCTCCAAATGTGAGTAATTTCCCCTTTCATGTTCCTTTCTATCTAACAGTAGTGTCCAAATTGTGTCCTTGTGTTCCCAATTAAGAAGCTTGTACTTTGTATCTGTATCTTAGGTACAAGCAAGCAGTTTTTTGCTATGAGGAGCTGATATTATCTCAGCCCACAGTTCCGCTATATCACTTAGCTTATGCAGATGTAAGTGGCTCTTCATCCCTGATGACTATATCTTCCACTTCATTTATTGTAATATTTTCGGGAAGTTTATCGTGGGAAAGCATGTTGGAAGGGATACTTCTCCTTGTGATGGGTATATAAAGTTTGCAAATACTTTGTTCATCATTTCATAATTTGACAGAGCTTCATGTTGGAGTTGGCTGCATGGGTCCATTGTGAGATCACATGATTGTCAAAAGCCGGACTTTCTTTAACATCTATGACAACGTTATTCTCCTGAGTCATTTTGTCTCCACCATGCTAAGTCTATTTCCTAGATAGATTTCTTGCGTTGATGAGTTATTTGCTGCATAATAAATCATCTTTAGGTAATAATCATTAATGTGGCTAGGTCCTTTTGTTTTCTTGTGTTAATTGATAATCAATTAAGATAAGATGCAATAACTAATTGGGCTTTTTATTTTATTTTATTTTATTGGTGTACTTATCATGGAGTGTTTTTCCTAGGCTTCTTTTCATAGCTATGGTCTTTCATTGATTCATATCAACCGAAGGGATTTTTTTTCTTTTTTTTTGTAACTTTAGCTCTTGGTAGCCTTTTAACTTCTTACTCCATTTTATTGCTGAAATTTGGGTGAGAATTTGGAAGCTTTGGGTTGTCTTTTATTGATGCACACCAACTGGAGAAATTTGGGTGAGAATTTGGACAGCTCCAAAGAGTTAATGACAAAATCAATGCTTTGGCGTTTGGTTTAGTCACCTTGAAGTTATGCCATAGAGCAAGGCAAGTTATTAGGCATTAGGTGGTGAGATAATGGAGCTGTCCACCTCTTGATATTTTACTGACAATGTAGGCTGTGTCTGAATTGTTCGGGTTAGGCTGCGTTTAACCCAAAGAAAATGCCTTTATTTGTGCTATAACTGCAAGTCGATCGATGACGAAATTTAATTTGGATACCTGATCCAGTTTTATCCTGAGGAGTACCTTAAGAGTTGACCCTGATATTGAGGATTTGGAATGCTTGGAGATTCTCTCCAAGGTCTTAAGCTCAAGTCTCTGTATGGAAAATTTAAAACTTGAAACTCATTGTCTCTTGGAGTTAGTTTTAGTGTGGTCAAAACATTTTTGTGCAGTGGGCAATTAGTGGAGCCCCTACACCCCAATTATTTGAAAAGAAAAAAAGAAGAATGAAAGAAAAACCCTTGCAGAAAGCAGAAAGGAGCTCTCGTTCAGCACGGCGTTGCTTATCGACATATCTTGCTCAAACTTGCTTTTCCTAGTCTCGATTTTCATGTTGGAAATTCTAGAAGATGTTCTTGTTTTCTGGCAAAAGCGTAGTATTAGTTAAACTTTGTTTTACCATTCTCTTTAACTTCGTTTCAACTTTCAAGTAATTACTCGAAACCTTTATCTGAATACAGGTACTTTACACATTAGGCGGCCTAGAAAACCTTCAAACAGCAAAGAAATACTACGCATCTACTATAGACTTGAGTGGGGGCAAAAATACCAGAGCCCTGTTTGGCGTTTGCTTGGTAAGCTTTCTCTGGCAATCTTCTGCATATAGCAATTTGTTATATTCATTATAACCTTATATCTGATGCACATTTCACTGTCGTGGGAGTATATCCATCATTTTCGGTTGATATCTTGAGTTTTGTGCTTCCTCTATGTGAAGACTTTGTCAGCTTTAACCCAAATTAAGTCAGCCAAAGTCCACCATCAATAGATATTGTCTTCTTTGGGCTTTTTCTTTCAGACTTCCTCTCAAGGTTTTTAAAACGCATCGCTAGGGTGAGGTTTTCACACCCTTATAAAGAAGGTTTCGTTTCCCTCTCCAACCGATGTGGGATCTCACAATCCACCCCCCTTCGAGACCCAGCATCCTTGCTAGCACTCGTTTCTCTCTCCAATCGATGTGGGATCTCACAATAGTGTCCTCGCCGGCACTTGTTCCTCTCTCCAATTGATGTGGGATCTCATCACAAGAGAGAAACGAGTGCCAGCGAGGACGTTGGGCCTTGAAGGGGGTAGATTGTGAGATCCCACATCGGTTGGAGAGGGGAGCGAACATTCTTTATAAGGGTGCGGAAACCTCTCTCTAGCAGATGCATTTTAAAAATCTTGAGGGAAAGCCTAAAAGGGAAAACTCTGAGAGGACAATATTTGGTAGAAGTGAGCTTAGGCGGTTACAGTTTCTCTCATTTTATTTTAGACCTTATTCTTTCTTTATATCGTGACAATTTGGTCCTCTCAGTTACCAAATAAATAGCAACAAAACCCGACATGACATCGTAAAAGTTGACATGATACCGCTTTAGCTTTTCATATGCATGAGACCACATGACACATGAAAGTGTTATACCACAGTACCAAGAACCAAAACGTAGACCAGAATTATACTTTTTAACAAAAAAAAAAAAACAAAAAACAAAAAGCAATTGGCCTGCAACTCCTCGCATTTCTGTCTTATTTCAAGCTGATTCCCTTTTTCTTTTGCAAACCAGTGTTCATCTGCCATTGCACAGCTCACGAGAGGTCGAAACCGAGAAGACAAGGAGGGTCCAGAGCTCCAATCTTTAGCAGCAACAGCCTTGGAAAAAGATTACAAGCAAAGAGCTCCACACAAGCTTTCTCTGCTTTCTTCTGTAATGAAAGGCTTGAAGGTCTCCCCTTAACTTTTCCTCCTTTGAACTGAGGGTGATTAGCATTTAGCTACTGGTAGTTTATATTAATTCATTTTCTTGTGATTTTTCCCTAAGAAGAAAATTTTTCTCTGTTTCCATAAAGTCCTAAATATGAGAAGTGATGTATTTTTTTTAGCCTAAGTTAAGGACGACACAGCTACAAAAAGATATAAATCTTATTCTTTCTTCTTTTCTAGTTATAGAATTCTATACCAATCTTCTATGAACATGAAATCATTGGGAAGAATGTACACAAATTCCATTCTATGTCCTTTGAATGTAGGGTTTCTCTGCACCTTTCTTCTTTATGTCAGTCTAAAAAGGGTATGAGAGATGAACAATATTAATTCTTGGGATTCTAGAGATGAAGATTTTGACAAAAGAAACTTGAGGGGCAAGTTTCTCGCCCCTTTTTTAGTTGTAACCGGTACAGAATTCGAGTTTCTGACCTCTTTATTGAGAGTACAGACCTTGTCTCCTTGTGTCTTTGTGTCAGTTGAATTGTGTTCATATTGGCTGCTTGATAAGCTTTTTTTATTAGATGTAATTATCGCGATCTTAGTTTTGGATTGACCGAACATATAATTTAGACCGTTTTTGAAGAGGAAAAATATTAGGGAGAGTTGGTAAAGAAAATGATAAATTATTCTTTTATTGGTGGAGTATGCTATATATACATTTTAGAAGTACATAAAAAAAAATGATTTAACCTAAAATTAAAAATAAGAAAAATAGAATTAAGTGATTTATTTATGTATTAATAGAAATCAATATAGTGTCCACTGAACCAATAGGTAAGATGTTTGAATCTTTTCACCTGATAATTATATTGGTAAGTTTGAATATTTATCATAAAATATTTATTACTTTTTCTAAAGCCAAAAGTTTGATCCGACCTTTTTTTTTTTTTTTTAATCACCGTGACGTTATTTTTTAAAATAATTACTCCTCTAAATGATTGATTGATTGAAATTAAGTGATAGATTGGGGCGAGATTTATGTAACTAAAAAGTACCCAAAAGATTGGAAACCTTTGATCATAACACTTTTATTTTCCTTCTTAGTTCAAACAAAGTTTAAAAAAAAAAATATCGAAATTTATTTAATATTAGTTTTTAAAATTTCTATAAATAAATAAATAAGACACCACTTTAGCTTTCCCATGTTTTTTTTACTTTCATTGTCCCTACATTTTTTGTTTGAACAAATCACGTTCCTTGAATATAGGCTTTCATTTTTCATTTTTCATAAATAAAAATAAAAATAAATTAAAAATGTTTAACTGGTCTGGTGAGACGGTGGATGTATTTCGCTTCATGAATATCATACGCTCGGGTCTTTTCCATTTTATTTGCTAAAAAGCCCTTGTTTTTAAAACCGACATATATTAATCATGCCATTTAGTGCTTGTTGATGGTAATCCTATATTTGTTTGTATAAAACTGCATGATACAACAATATTTAAGTAACAGTATTGACGATAAAGAATTACCAATATAAAAGTTTAAAATTCTTAACCATGAATAAAAAAATTTAAAATTACGTGAGTAAATAAATCCAATGATATAACTAAAATGAATAAGCCAACCCGGGTTTGGAACAATTATTAGACCAAATAAGATATATATATATATATATATATATATTAAAAGTTATTTATTAAATTATTAGACCGAATTTATATATATACAATTGAGTGTAATCAAACAAGGTAGGAAAATGAATAAGCCAATCCGGGGTTTGGAACAACATATCTCTGTCACCAAACATATATCCTCTAGGTGGGACCCACTCAGCCAAGAGCTGACAAAAGACGGCGAAGCCCAGCAGGTTGTTGTTTTTTTTTTTTTTGTCTTTGTCTGAACAATATTATTATTATTATATATAAATATTTTACAATATAATTTATAGCTTAATTAAAAAATAAATAAAAAGTAGGAAGAGGAACTCAAAATAGTTTTACAAAAAAAATAATTTAAGAATATTATTGAAAATTTAGAAAATATTTTGAAATCCAAATATTTTTATTAATTTAGCCAAATAATAATATATTAAAATTATGATTAAAAAAATTAAAGACGAATAAAGAGATTAAAACAATTAAATTTTGAAAGGATAGAGACTTAAAAGAAACATTTGAAGAATATAAGGATTAAAATATACCAAAGCTAAAAGCATATGGCCAAAGTAGAATTATTATTTTATTACCCACAAAATAAAAATAATTCAATTTAAATACAAGCATGTGGATAAGAATATATATATATATATATTTTAATAAATCCCATGCTCACTTGATTTTTGTAAAATAAATAATATTATTGTTAATTTAAAATATTTTTTTAAAACTATTTATATATTTTTTATAACAAGTCACCCATTTTATATTCTTTTAACTCCAAAATTATATATATATAGTTTAAAATTAGTAATATAATGATTCTCGTAAAACAATATATATTTATATTTTTTTACATATTTTTATTATTATTCAAATAACTCTAACGGTTAAAGAGATTTATACAAAAATTAATAAAAAAAAAAGTGTAAAATGCTGTATTTTTTTTTTTTGTAGGATATAAATTATTTAATTAACCCAAATAGAATTTATTTGAAATGTAACTAATTAAATAAAAATAAAAAAAAAAAGGAAAAAGATAACTGAAATATCACATGCAATGTTTCTATACATTTATTATTTTTATGTGTATTTTTCTTCCTCCATTTTTGGTCATTAAATATAAATTCTTTTTTTTTTCCAAATTCCAACACACAAAATTGGCCAAAAAATAAATTATATTTCTTTATTTGTTTTTCCTTTCTTACCAAGAAAAAAAAAAAACTTTATTATAAATGAGAATGACAATATGAAAGAATTAAACCTCAGTGAATTTTGAGATTTTGAATTAAAATGGGAACTTAAACACATAACGGTACTGCTTCAGGTCATTGTTGCACCTGCCCGAGTCTCAGTATTCATCCGATTTTTACTCGGATGATAATCTTAAATTTTTTATAAAATATTAAGAATAACATCGTAAGATATACATTCACGAATCGAAATCACATCCGAACAAGAGTGATTATGAGAATATGATGGTTTATGAAGACATAGACGAATAAATAGTTACTACGTATACCAACAAATGCATCTTATTTTTTCAGTGGGTCAATCGTAATAACTTTTATGTTGGGTGACCTCTAAAAAAAACAAAAAAGATAAGGAAATAACTAACTGATAGTAGAGAACTCCAGATCTATCAAGTGCATCGGACAATAAAATATAGAAAATACAGAAATAATATTTAATAACTTAATTTTTTAACACGAAAAATAAATAATTATAAAAAAAAATATCACTAAGATGAAGAAATCAATTATATATATCCATTAATTCTCACTCACAAATTTGGCATAAAGTTTTTGCCTTTTAATTCAAAATGTGTTTAATTCTTTTTTTTTTTTTAATTTATTATTCCCACTTTTTAATTTTTTATTTTTTATTGCTTTCATGATTTCCCTACCTAGATTCTCAAAATCACACACTAAAAAACAAAATTAATTGAAACAAAAAAAAAATAATAAAATAAAAATTATTCAAAAGGAAAAAAAGATGAAAGATTTACATAAATGGCTCATGAAACAAAATTTTAATTTTTTTTTTAATATTCTACCATTATAGTCCATACACTTTTAACTATTTAGATTTAATACTAATTTATAGGTAACCAAATTAACTTTATTACTTTTTTTTATATTCTAAATTATTGTGAAATTAAAATTTGATAGGATAATAATTATTATTATTTTTTTTTGTTAAGATTGACAATTTTTAAAAATTATAATTAATTTATTTCTCCATCGTTAAATTTGTATATAATAAGTTTTAAACTTTAGAAAGCATTGGTCAGTTCAAACATAATTTTGTGGATAAGACGTTACTGTAACATCTCAAGGCCACCACTAGTAGACATTACTGTAACATTTCAATCTCACAGTTTTGAAACATGTCTACTAGGGAGATGTTTCCATACCATTATAAAGAATGTGTCGTGCTCCTCTTCAATCGAAGTGAGATTTCATAATTTACCTCCCTTGGAGACCAAACGTCCTCGTTGGCACACAACTAAGTGTTCGACTCTGACACCATTTGTAATAGCCAAAATCCACTACTAACATATATGGTCTTACATTGCTTCTCTTAGCGTTGAAATTGAGCCACCATCCCCGAATCTGTTTCCATTAACTCCCTTTCCTTCCATTTCTTTGTCACTTTGACCCATCATTCTCTCTCTCTCTCTCCTCTCTGTTTATCTCAAGAATTTTAGTAATCCCATTATATATTCATCTCTCCATTCTCCTCTTCTCTCTCTAAAACACTCCCAATTTCAGTGTTTTTTTTGCTTTAAAACCCACACCAATGTTCTTCTCTCTCTAAGATTATGTCCTCTGGCGTCCTTTAAATCCATACCCATTTCTTGTTTTCTCTCAACTAAGAGGAAAAAAGGTTGCTTTCTGAACTTTGAATCCCAACAATGGCGGAACCCCTTCACTATCTTCTTCCCCTTCAGCTGCAGCTTCTGTTTGTGTTCCTTTTGCTTCCAAAACGGTGTCGTTCCTTCTCTCCTTTGTAGCTCTCTTCTTTCTTCTACCACATTTGCTTCAGTCTCTTGGATCCTGGTTTCTTCTACTGCTACTTTCAGGTGCCTCTCTGTTTCTTGTGGGGTTGGGGTTTTGTTTAAATTTGAAGATTTTATGTTTGAGATGAACTGAAGATTTTGCAGTGTTCTTAGTGAAGTGATGAACATTGAAATGAAAACTACATATTTACTGTTTTTTTTCTGCTTTTTTTTTGGCTGAATCTTTTAGTTTTGTTTAAAGATGAGAAGCAGTTGTTATGGAAGGTGAATTCATTGTGGTTTGTTGGATAATGTCTCTGTTTCTTACTTAGTTGTGATATTGTCTATGCTTAGAAAACAGATAGAAATGGTATCAGAGCCATACACCGGGTGGTGTGCCAGCGAGGACCTTGGGACACCAAGGGTGGATTGTGAGATCCTACCTCGATTGGAGAGGAGAACAAAATGTTCCTTATAAGGGTGTGGAAATCTATCCCTAGTAGACGAGTTTTAAAGCTTTGAGGGGAAGTCTGAAAGGGAAATCCCAAAGAGGACAATATTTGTTAGTGGTGTGGTTGGGTTGTTACAAATGGGAGTATTAGAGCCGGTCACCAGATGGTGTGAGGCACTGCTCGGAGTAGGGCTAGACCCTCTCCATAGCAGACGCGTTTTAAAAACCTTGAGGGGAAGCCAAAAAGGGAAAGTCCAAAGAGGACAATATCTACTAGTAGTGGGGTTGAGTTGTTACAAATGGTATTAGAGTTAGTCACTGAATGGTGCAAGACACTGGTCGGTGTAGGGCTAGACTCTCTCCATAGTAAACGCATTTTAAAAACCTTGAGGGGAAATATGTAAGGGAAAGCCTAAAGAGGACAATATCTACTAGCGGTGGGCTTGAGCTATTACAAATGGTATCAGAGTCAATCATCGGAGGGTGTGGGGCACTAGTCGGAGTAGGGCTAGACCCTCTCCATAGTAGATGCGTTTTAAAAACCTTGAGGGGAAGCCCAGAAGTGAAAGCCCAAAAAGGACAATATCTACTAGCGGTATGCTTTGGCTGTTACAAATGGTATCAGAGCTAGTCACCAAACAGTGCGAGACACTGGTTGGAGTAGGGCTAGACCCTCTCTATAGTAGATGCATTTTAAAAACCTTGAGGGGAAGCCTGTAAGGGAAAGCCCATAGAGGACAATATCTACTAGCGGTGGGCTTGAGCTATTACAAATGGTATTAGAGCCCATCACCGAACAGTGCGAGACACTAGTCGGAGTAGGGCTAGACCCTCTCCATAGTAGACACGTTTTAAAAACCTCAAAGAGAAGCCCAAAAGGGAAAACCCAAAGCGAACAATATCTGCTAGCGATGGACTTGAGCTATTACAAATGGTATCAAATCCCATCACCGGACGGTGCGAGACATTGGTCGGAGTAGGGCTAGACCCTCTCCATAGTAGACCCGTTTTAAAAACCTCAAAGGGAAACCCAAAAGGGAAAACCCAAAACGAACAATATCGGCTAGCGATGGACTTGAGCCGTTACATTATCTATGCTAGCGACTTCTTAAAGTAGATTTTGATTAGCTTTTGTTGTCATGTGTACTCAGAGAAAGGGAACTATTAAGCTGTCCAAATGGAGCAATATGAAATATTGGAGCAAATAGGGAAAGGATCCTTTGGCTCTGCTCTTCTTGTGAGACATAAGCATGAAAAGAAAAGGTTAGACAATGCAGTTCAAGTTTTCTTTACCAAATTATTTTGTTTTTCATTTAGTTCTTCATAATTTCCTCTCTTTAAAACTTTGAATATGTGTGACACATAATTTTGACCTTTATATATTAAGGTATGTGTTGAAAAAAATTCGCCTCGCTCGTCAGACCGATAGGTCCCGTAGATCTGCACACCAGGAGGTTGGTGTTTTTTACTCCGACATACTTCTCGAGTCGTTAATAACCTGTCTTGTCTTCTTGCTTTTTAGCTTTTCATGTTCTACTATAATCTTGTCGGGGTGCTTTGAATGAGTTTAGATTCTCTTCTACTGCCATGACCGTTTCGGTTTTTGTCGATTATCGTAACTAGGAATGCTTTTGTGAAACAACCAATGATCAAAATGAACATTAGATCTTCTTTCACTTTATGTGAACATTTTGGAAAGCTAAGCATAGATCATCCATGATTTTGGTTGATTGCCGGTTATGATAGGAACGTTTATGTCGTTTTTTCGAGCTAATCCGTTCCTGTTTTCTTGTAGATGGAGCTCATTTCTAGACTACGGAATCCATTTATTGTGGAGTATAAGGATTCATGGGTCGAGAAGGTAGATCGAGCTTTAATCGCTATAAGTTATTACTAATGTGCTGTTTAATGTTGCTATCTACACTTAAAACAGGTACAGTTTAACGATATCGATGGTCGTTTAAGATGGTTAAGAATAAATTTCCCGTTATTCTTAAATCATTCGTTCTTACCATTTGATTGTCTCTAGTTCATCCTTCGTATCGGTGTAGTCTAATGTGAGATCCCACGTCGGCTGGGGAGGAGAATGAAACATTCTTTATAAGGGTGTGGAAACCTCTCCCTAGTAGACGCGTTTTAAAACCTTGAGGGGAAGCCTAGAAGGGAAAGCCCATAGAGGACAATATTTGTTAGCGGTGGGCTGAGGCCGTTTCAAATGGTATTAGAGCCAGACATTGGGCGATGTACCAACGTGGAGTTTAAGTCCCGGGGGGGGGGGGGGGGTGGATTGTGAGATCCCACATCGATTGGGTAGGAGAACGAAACATTCTTTATAAGGGTGTGGATACTTCTCCCTAGCAGACGTGTTTTAAAACCTTGAGGAAAAGCCCAGAAGGGAAAGCCCAAAGAGGACAGTATCTGCTAGTGATGGGCTTGGGCCGTTTCAAACGGTACTACAGCCAGACAACGAGCGATGTGCCAATGAGGAGGAGCGCTAAAGGGGGTATACACGAGGCAGTGTGCCAGTAAGGATACTGGACTTCGAAGGGGGTGGATTGTGAGATGCTAGCGGTGGGATTGGGCCGTTTCAAATGATATTAGAGTCAAACACCGAATGATGTGCCAACGAGGAGGCTGAGCCCTAAAGTGGGTGTACACAAGGCAGTGTACCAATAAGGACGCTGGGCTCCGAAGGGGGTGGATTGTGAGATCCCATATCAATTGGGGAGGGGAACGAAACATTCTTTACAAGGATGTGAAAACCTCTCCCTAGCAAACGCGTTTAAACCTTGAGGGGTAGTCCAAAGAGAACAATATCTGCTAAGCCGTCACCTCTAATCTAATTTCTTTTGTTATTTCTTTGTTGACAGGGTTGCTATGTGTGCATTATTATAGGTTATTGTGAAGGAGGGGACATGTAAGTACTTTTCTAGCCCAATGTTCATCATGTTCATCATTTTTTTTGTATTACTTCACCATTAAGTCTACATTTATTCAATTTCCACAGGGCCGAAACGATAAAAAAAGCGAACAGCGTTCATTTCCCCGAAGAGGTTCTTAATAACATTGAAAATCTCTTTTCGTTTCGTTAATTCTTTTTATATCTTGTTCATCGTTCGTTTCGTTTCGTAGAAACTCTGCAAGTGGTTAGTTCAACTTCTGATGGCACTCGATTACTTGCACACGAATCACATCCTTCACCGGGACGTTAAGGTTCGATGTGTATTCGTTTTTGGCTAAATATATAATGTAGTCCCTAATGTTTGGTGTTCGAACATATTTTTGACTAAAAATCGATATCATGTGAATGCGAATACGTTGAGCTCTTTACTAACTATCGATATCATGTGATTTGTTCAGTGTTCGAACATATTTTTGACTAAAAATCGAGATATACGCCTCGGTAAGTGAACTCTTCCTCCATCCCCATCGTGTATATATATAGATAATCAAAATTGCAAGTATGAACAGAAATTTGATAGTAATTCACGTTGATGAAACAGGCGACTTCGGACTAGCCAAAATGTTGACGTCAGACGATCTTACGTCCTCGGTGTGTAATTGACGACGCATCAGTTTCTTAGTAGTTGTTTTCGCTTGTGATACCTTGCTATTGTTCTTTTAAACACTTGGCATGATAATGCAGGTCGTAGGAACTCCGAGCTATATGTGTCCAGAACTTCTTGCTGATATACCTTACGGTTCGAAGTCGGATATTTGGTCTTTAGGTAGGAACCGCTCGACCTGACCACGAACCTAATTTGGCCTTTATTGACTAAAAGTGACTTCATTTCACATCTGTTTGTCAGGATGCTGTATATATGAGATGACTGCTCTAAAGCCTGCATTCAAAGCGTTTGTAAGTTTCGAACGTCATTTGTTCTTGTTCGGGAATTTCGAACGCCATTTCCTCATCTTCGAGCACTTGATTGTTGTTTTCATAAACTATTCAACTTTTGAAGTTGTTGGGCTGATGGATTCTATGGTAGCTTATGTCGATTAGATAACTCCATTCCCTCTATAATTAGTGTGAGTTTATCTTATAACTAGGGTCCGACCTAGTCCACTCCATGCCGAGGACGTTTCTACCACTAGCAGATATTGTCCTTCTGGGCTTTCCCTTTCGGGGTTCCCCTCCAGGTTTTTAAAACGTGTTTGCTAGGGAGAGGCTTTCACACAATCCACCGCCTTTCGAGACCCAGTGTCCTCACTGACACTCATTCCCCTCTCCAATCGACGTGGAATCTCACAATCCACCCCCCTTCAAGGCCCAGCGTTCTCGCTGGCACACCGCCTAGTATCTGGCTTTGATACCATTTGTAACAGCCTAAGCCCACTGAAAGCAGATATTGTCGTCTTTGGACTTTCCCTTTTGGGCTTCCCCTCAATGTTTTTATAACGAGTCTACTACGAATAGGTTTCCACACCTTTATAAAGAATTTTTCGTTCCCCTCTCCAACCAACGTGAGATCTCATAATGTTAGAGGGAATATACCAATCGATGTGAGACTCGTTCCCCTCTCCAATCGATATGAGATCTTAGAATCCACCTCTCTTCAGGAACCAACGTTCTCAGTAGCACACCGCCCGGTGTCTGACTTTGATACGTGGCCTTCTTGTCATGGCTCTATTGTGTTGAATGGTCAGGTTTGCTACTTTTTCTAATTTGATTGTGTTTTGGGCAGGACATGCGATCTCTTATCATTAAGATTAACAAGTCCATAGTGGCTCCTCTTCCAACAAAATACTCTGGTGCATTGTAAGTCCATCTCCTCCCTGACTTCTTGTTCGTCTGCGTTATTGTCGATCTAATCGCTTTCCTTTTCGGTTTGCAGTCGAGGTCTCGTCAAAAGCATGCTACGTAAAAACCCGGAGCTTCGGCCAAGTGTATGTGTTATCCTCCTCTCACACTCCACTCTATCTGATCTATCTAATCCTCTCATTTTCTTATCCAATCAAAGAATGCCATATGGATCAAAATCGCATTACCCGCCCCAATTTTCATAGTTATTTTAGTACTTATGTGAGATCTCACATCGGTTGGGGAGGAGAACGAAACATTCTTTATAAGGGTGTAGAAACCTTGAGGGAAAGCCCGAAAGGGAAAGCCCAAAGAGGACCATATTTGCTAGCAGTGAGCTTGGGTTGTCACAAATGATGTTAGAGACAGACACCGAGCGATGTGCCAGCGAGGAGGCTGAGCCTCGAAGGGTGATGGACACGAGGCGGTGAACCAACAAGGACGTGGGCCCCGAAGGGGGTGGATTATGAGATCCCACATCGGTTGGGGAGGAGAACAAAACATTCTTTATAAGGGTATGGAAACCTCTTCCTAGCAGATACGTTTTAAAAACCTTGAGGGGAAGCTCGAAAGGAAAAGGCAAAAGAGGACAATATCTACTAGCGGTGGGCTTGAGTTGTTACAAATTGTATTAGAGACAGACATTGGGCGATATACCAGCGAGGAGGCTGAGCCTTGAAAGGGGTGGACATGAGGTGGTGTGTCAGCAAGGACGTTGGGCCCTGAAAGGGTGGGTCCCACATCGATTGGAGAAGGGAACGAGTGCCAGTGAGAACGTTGGGCCCCGAAGGGGGGTGGATTGTGAGATCCCACATCGGTTGGGGAGGAGAACGAAGCATTGTTTATAAGGGTGTGGAAACCTCTCTCTCTAGCAGACGCGTTTTAAAAACCTTGAGGGAAAACTCGAAAGGGAAAAGCCCAAAGAGGACAATATCTGCTAGCAGTGGGCTTGGATTGTTCATATAATGTTCGTGCCAAAATTGACGATACAAACGACCGATAAGAAACACAAATCTCCCAAGTTTATGTCTTCAACTTTTTAGCCAATAAATTCCCTTATGTTCTGTTGTATCATGTTATATAGGTTCCCCAACTCTAGTGTTTTGAACAACTTTGTTTGGCAGGCTGGGGAGCTACTTGGTCATCCTCATTTGCAGCCTTACATTGTTCAGATAAATCTCAAACGGAATTCTCCGAGACGCAATACGTTACCGGCACTCTGGCCCGAACCCAATTATATGAAGAAGACGAGGTTCTCCGAGCCATTGCCCTTTAAGCGCCATTCATTAAGCAACGATCGAGCTATAAATCCAAGTGTTTCGGTAATAGAGTATGATTCTCTCAGCTCAACACATGATATACATGATAAACAAAACTACCCGAGTCGCAAACCGACCACTGGTGGCACTCAGGGTGGAGGAGGGTCTCGAAAGATGACTGCTAAGTCTGCAACTAATGCTAAAACTTCACGGCTTCTATCGAAAGCTTACGCCACTCGGGAAAAACGCGATGAACCGTTGAAAAACAATAAGAAATTGGTGAGTCTGGATGATCTATAGCTTATTTATACCAATTTTGGTTCATTAACTGAGACCTCATCTTTGTTTATAGCAGCTCCCAGTTTCATCTACTTATGCCCGTCGAGCGTCGTTCCCGTTGCATACGAAAGCTACCACCGATCAAAGCGCTTGCAGACCGAATGTTGGTATTCTTCACCACGTTAAGTCCCCGGATGTCTCGGTGAATTCTCCACGAATTGACCGGATTGCTGAATTCCCTTTAGCATCATACGATGATACATTTTTTCGTGTTCGCCGTGCTTCACTGCCATCCACGCATGGATCTACGAGCTCCCTGCAGCACACTGATTGTTCTATAACCGAAGACAAATGTACAATCCAAGTTTGTGACAAGGTTTGTTCAACTCGTGGTTACACCGAAGCATGGCAGGGAATACAATGCAGCTTATTTCAAGATGACCGAGACGCTCGAAGTGATTCCTCCGCTCAGGATGCAACGGCTGGTGCATCGAGCCATACCTCATCAGACTTACGACAACGCCATTTTGATACTTCATCGTTACAACAGAGGGCCGAGGCTTTGGAAGGTCTCCTCGAGTTTAGTGCGAGATTGCTGCAGCAGGAGAAGTACGAAGAGCTCGGGGTGTTGCTGAAGCCATTTGGACCCGAAAAGGTCTCCCCAAGAGAGACTGCTATCTGGTTGAGTAAGAGCTTCAAAGAAATCAATCTCAAGCAGGAAACATGAACCTCTCTCGGATGTGCAGAGTCGTCGCATTTTCTCGAGGTATATTTGACACTTGGGAAGATGCCGAGAAGGAGAAAAACGTCTTTTCATTATAGATTATAGTCGTTTTAGTTCGATAGACTAGCTAGCGAGTAGCGGTTATTTGTCGTCCTTAGTTTTAGCTCATTAGTAGTAGCTGATATGCAACATTTCTGTTGTAGGAATGTAAATTTACAACAGTTAAGATGGCTAAGATGGTCTCGGTTTTAGCTGATGTGCGCTTGAACTCGGACGTTGTTTCGGTTCACTCTGCGATCGGACTTTTGCCCGTGATGTTTTTGTCTTGGCCATATAATTTGGATAGAATGGATGGTCATTAGGCACGAAATCTGAACGCCTTGGATGATCCATGGAAAATAAGGCTGTTTCAGATGTTGGTTTGGACATGTTCGGTTCCCTGGTGCCGGAGTGATCTTTGTGCTGATACTGCCTCGGGATCGAAAGGTTTCGTCTACAAGAACAAGCATTTGGTTCATTCACTATCTGTTCGATTTGAGAACGACTTATATGGTCACTCTTGCTCGTATATGATCTCCGAGTTTCATTGAGATTCATGTTTAGTCTCTAAGAAAAGCCAAGAAAAACCGGTAAACAAAGTGAATGTGTAATCGAACAAGTAAATAGAAACTGCTACGAGATGAATCATGGAGTTTACGTAGTATACTTTTTTGAGATTGGTGTCAACGAGACGCTTACGTTGCCTCCTTTCAAGAAGCTCTTCCTCGTCCTCGAGCAGCTGGATCCGACTCACCCGAGCTCGAACTTGGATTGCCATCAAAGCTTGCAGGCTCTTTAGGGTAGCAGCTGTTTGTTTCCTCACAAGATAGCCTCTCACAAGTGCTTGTATCTTAACCAGTGCTCTTAAAGCATGCAATGCTTTCCTTGCCTAGAGCAACAACATAAGCAAATCACAACAAATCTGACATTTTCCTTCCAAAACACTTCACAAACATAACTTTAAAAAATAAAAATAAAATAAAAATAAAAACTTAAAAAGAATATATTTTCGGGTCAATATTGTTCACTTTGGGCTTTTCCTCTCAAAATTGTTTTGTTCCCCGGATGTGGGATCTCTCACAATCCACCTTCTTCAGGGCCTCGCGTCTATGCGGGTGAATCTCACAATCCACCCTCTTTCAGGGCCGAACGTCCTCACTGTCACACTGCCTAATGTCCACTCCCTTTCCAAGAATGTTTTGTTCCCCTGACGTGGGATCTCACAATTTGCTCCTTCAGAGCCCAGCGTCCTCACTGGCACACCACTTGGTGTCTACCCTCTTCGGGGTTCAGCTTCCTCGCTGGCACACCACTCAGTGTCTAGCTGTGATATTCTGTTACGAATCACGAATCTCCACAATAGCATGATATTGTCCAATTTGAGCATAAGCTCTCATGGCTTTACTTTAGGTTTCCCAAAAAAAAAAAATCTCATACCAATAGAAATGCATTCTTTACTTCTAAACCCACTATCATTCTCTAAATTACCCAATATGGACTCCTCCCAACAATTCTCAACAATATTAAGAAATAGAAGACATGAAACGAAAAACTAATTACCAAATGAGACCGGTACGCGGATTGGATCGTCGTAGCAGCAGCGTTTCGAGCACTTGATGGTGGCTTCTTCTGATCTGCCATAGCTACATGCTTGAGAGATTCAATGGTACCAATGGAGCCATCAGATTTAGAAAGCTTATGAGTTAACAGAAGATTTGTCTTTCTAAAACTCCATTTTAGCTTCAAATTTGCAGAGTGATCAGAAAAAGAAGAAGAACCCATCTTCTTCTTCATCTGATTCTTCTGATGTCCTTCCTTCTTCCCAAGAAGAAGATTCAATATCCATTTTGCAGCCTTCCCCATCTTGGCTGAGAAGAAAACTTCAGAAAAGAAATGGGTTTTTGAAATGGTTTCGAAAAGTTCAAATTTTGATCATCAAATTCAAATGGGTTTTTGAAATAATTTCAAAAAGTTCAAATTTTGATCGTCAAATTCAAATGGGTGTGGGACTTTTTGTGTTAATGTTTGGCCAGCAACAAAGCTCTTTTATACATGATTTGTTGAAACTGTTGACTTCAAGCCATGTTTTTTTTTAATTTTTAATTTTCTTTTTTATGTTCTTTTGATTTGTGTTGTTCCTTTTTTGTCTATGGCCTGCAGATTTTTTTCTTCCTATGATTAAGCCATTTGCCACTTCTTGAATTATTTTTATATTTTTAAATATTCAACTATGGTTCATAGATTTAAACTATATATAGTTCATGGGTAATTAGACTATAAAGCAAATAAGACTCGAGCTTGAGAAATGCCCTAGGACCTAAATAGGATTGGAAAATCGAGATGGGTAAGTTCAAGGACAATTAGACTAGAAAATAGATAAGACTTGAGCTTAAGTAACGTCTTAAGATCCAAATGGGCTTGGGAAATCGAGATTGGATAAGTTTAAGGACAATCAGATTAGAAAGTAGATAAGTCTCGAGCTTGAGAAACGTCCCACAACTCAAATGGATTTGGGTAAGAGAAGAGACCCAAATTCCTATACTCAGCCTTGATTAGATTTTGTAAGTAGTGAATTTTGAAAATTTTCAACTAAATTTAAAATTTATTTAGACATGAACTAAATTTAAAAAAATTTATTAAAAATATAGAAATTAAAATACAGTCAAATTTAACATATTTATAATTTGAAACAAAAAAAAAAAATATAAACATGATTAATAATATAGTCTCCAAATTTAAAAGTTAATTAATTAATTTATTATAATCTCTCGAGGATGATCAACCTATTATTTCTAGAGTAACTTTTATCTATTGAATGAGAACCCTTTCACTCGACACTGTCGAATCACTAATGTCGACTTTTATCTCTGTTCTTTTGAAGATATTCAAATAAAAATTTGAAAATAGAGAAGAAAAAAATAGTTTTAATTTTAGTTTTGGTGAATATAATAATTTAATTTTGAATAACAATCATTTTAATACATAATAATTTAATTTTGGCAATTTAATCCCTACTCTAAAAATTTCATCATTTAATTAAAGGTTGATTTTTATGGTTTAAGATGAAGAAATTTGAGCTTAAACTTATGAAATCCCTTTAAATACACTAATTTTTTCAATTCTTAAGTACAAATGGATACAAAATTACATTTATTCCATCCCAAATTGAGCATATCATCAGCAAAAATTGGCACAAGATTTCTTATAATACAGAGATGAAATCAAGCTGATTGTTACCAATAAATCATGAACAGGAAGAAGAAAAAAGAAAGTTGCAATTCGAACCTCTAATTTAGGGTTTAGGAGGAGGCAAAGGAATTGTAACAGTTTTCAGAAGAACTCACCAATGGAAGTAATTGGAAACCGAAATCATTTCGTTTTGATGTCGATTCCATCTTTTCCGGCGATGATTACGACGGTCGCCATGTCCAAGAACAATCCGTGCTCCACCACTCCTTCAAACGCCGAGATCTCTTTGCCGGCGGCCAATCCGTCCTTAATCGGAGTCTTGAAATACAAATCAACTATGTAATTCGAGTTATCGGTGACGTACGGCTTCCCGTCGGCTTCCAATCGGAGCTTGGCCTCGCAACCTTCGTCCTTGAACAGATCTTGAAGCCTCACCAAATTGTGTTTCCAGCAGAACTGAACGACTTCAACCGGCATCGCGAGGCCGCTTCCACCGAGGCCGTCAACTAATTTAGTTTCATCGACGACGACGACGAACTTATCGGAAGCGGCCTCCACCATTTTCTCACGCAAGAGAGCGCCGCCGCGGCCTTTGACGAGATTCAGATCTGGATCGACTTCATCAGCGCCATCGATGGCCAAATCGAGATGCGGATGGTCGTCCAAGACAGAAAGAGGAATACCTAATGACCTAGCTTGCTCCTCCGTCCGCTTCGAGGTAGGGATTCCAACAATGTCTCTCAATTGATTACTCTTGAGAAGTTCGCCAATCTTGGCGACGACGAAGGCGGCGGTGGAGCCAGTGCCGAGGCCGAGGACCATGCCGCTCTTGACATACTCGACGGCTTTGTCGGCGGCGAGCTTTTTAAGGTCGTCTTGAGTGAGAGTGGAGACGGAGCGGGCTTGGACGGAGAGAGGTCGGCAATGGGCGGAGAGATTTATGGATTTTGGGGAGCGGAGGAGAAGGTTGGCTATGGAGGAAACATGGCGGGAGGAGGAGAGAGAAGGAGGAGAGATAAAGGAGAGGGAAGCCATGGATGAGAAAGGGATTAGGGATTTCAGCTTTTCTGTGTTCTTTCTTCTTCGTTCTTTCTCTCCACTTTCCCTATCCAAACTCCGATGCCCAAATAATTTCCAATTTATTTATTATTTTTTATTATATGAAAAAGATGAATTTTTTTAGCTTTTGGTTTGATTTGAGAAATGGACATTTAGGGTTGGTAGAGGATCAATGGGGAAGAGGGAGGCTTTACTTTGTTATTCTATAACCTCGAGACTTAGGTTAGGACGAATCGACGAGATTACACTTACGTCTATAACTTCGAAACTCAGGTTAGGATCAATCAACGAGATTTCACTTAGGTCTATAACTTCGAGACTCAGGTTAGGATGAATCAACGAGATTTCACTTAGGTCTATAACCTCGAGAATTAGGTTAGGACGAATTGACGCCTCGAGAATCAGGTTAGGACGAATTGACGAGATTTCACTTAGGTCTATAACCTCGAGATTTAGGTTAGGATGAATTGACGAGATTTCACTTAGGTCTATAACCTCGAGATTTAGGTTAGGATGAATTGACGAGATTTCACTTAGGTCTATAACCTTGAGACTTAAGGTTAGGATGAATCAATGAGATTTCACTTAAGTCTATAACCTCAAAAATTAGGTTAGGACAAATTGACGAGATTTTACCTAGGCCTAAAACCTCGAGACTTGGGTTAGGACAAATCGGTGAGAATTCACTTAGGTCTATAACCTCGAGACTTAGGCTAAGACGAATTGACGAGATTTCACTTAGGTTTATAACATCGAGACTTAGGTCAATACGAATCGACGAGATTTCACTAATTATATTAGGATGACAATTCACGATAAAAGATTAATACTTACTTCTTCAGTAATAGGTATTTGCAATAGATCCCTATTATATTTTGTATAACGAGGAGAAAATACGTTAAAAAGAGAGAGAATTGATGTTTTTTTTTATGGTTGTCAATGAAAAGGTACCTATTGATCCATGTGTAGGTAAGTATTATTGTATATACATGTTCGAAACGAAGACTTTGTCGTGCTAGTCTTTATGGATGACGGTGAACTAAAATTTTTACGTGGAGTTTGATGTTCGAACACTAATGAAATGCATACTCAAACTTTGACGTTGTGATGTTAATCCAATGCATATCATGATGCTCAGTCATTCCCTTGTGGATCGTTTGACGAGTTTGATTCGAGCTTTAAAAGGGTATGGATTGAGCTCGTAATGCTCTGTAAAACCATCGGTTTTCGGTTGAACGGTTGGTTCTTCATCCCAGATAAAAAGTGATTGAGAGAAGAAAAATACTATGATCGAAATTGGAATGAGAGAGACGAGGAAGAAGAAATCATAAAAAGAAGATAAAAGGTGAGATAAGATCGAGTAATTTTTCAGAGATTTGACGTTTTTATAACCCGAGAGTAAAAAGACAATTTTACCCTTAGAAAAACCATTTAAAAAAATAATAAAAAATCAATCCCTTTTCAAGAATCACTTCAAGAATATATATATATATATATATATATTTTATTTGTGAATGATATAACTTAATGACTAAATTTGTAAATTAACCAAATATATATATTTTAATTATGATTTAAAGATGCATCTAGGGTTTAGAGGGGATTAGATTCTTGATGGGCCCACAAGCTTGTAGAATATGGAGTCGGGTTATTGGGTTTGACCCGACCGAGATTCGGGTCATAAGGCGATTCCTACCGGACCTTTCCGCCCCCTCACGCGACCACTTTTGAGCGCATTGGAATTTACACAGAATTCATTCCCATTTTCCTTCTTCTTTTCCTTCTCCTCTCGTTCGATTAGCTATGGCTGCCGCATCTGCAACCGCTATTCATCGGAATCAGGTGAGTGATTCAAGTTCTTGCGGCGTTTGCTTATTAAATTCATGCTTAGTTTTCGAGAAATGATTAAGGATGATGTTAAAACTTGAATCTGGCTGGGAGTTTCAGGATTGTATTGCTTTAAGCTTGGTTTTTTTTTTTTTTCTTCTCATACTGATGCTTCGTTTTTAACCAGGTTGATCTGTCCGACTTCATTAATTGGTCTGGCGTCGAGTGCCTTAACCAGAATTTCAGCCACACTTTTACAAATGCTCTTAACCAGGTGCTGTTTGTTATTATTTTGACTCGAGCTGTTAATCAGTTTCTCGTACTTCATTGTTGTTTTTGAATTTCTTAAATAATTCATTTTTATGAAGTTAAAGATGATGCTGAGTTAGACTCGCGTTTTTCCACAATATAATTTACATCTATTATTCCTTTCTAATGGCAAGAGATGGGAAGTTGTGAATATGGAGGTCAGCAAGGTTGGCTAGGTAGATGGAAGTTGATGAATATAAATTTAGCTCTTTGGGTCAAGTTGGCGAATAATTCCCTTTGAAAATAGATGTTGTTCAATTCATTGATTTCTGTTTTTCATCTTACAAGACATCTTTGTGATATTGAGTTACAAAATTTGTCGAATCTTTCTCCGTTTTAGTAGTACGCCTAGTTGGGGTTTTCAGCCATGCATCCTTTTTTTTTTTTTTTAAACAATCCCCCCTCTTTCACTCTGATTTTGGAGGCTAAAATCTGAAAGAAGATAAAGTTTTTCACCTACCTGATTTCCTTGGGTAGATTATACTTACACCATAGACTTTGTCTAAAAGCCTTCATCTATGGTTTTGGGCCATCAGTCGTATGTGTTGTATATGAAAGCAATAAAAGTTACTGATCATTTGCTATAGAGATGTGACTTTGTTGTGAAAATTAGAACCAATTTTTGCACATGTTTGGAGTTAGTTTGACTACTCCCAAAGATTGTAGGGATGAGGTGGAGAAGGTGCTTGTTAACCCAAATTTCCATGATTAGGGTCTGAATCAATGGCAAAAAATGTCTTCACAAATTTATTGAATCCATGGCTCGAAAAGAAATAAAGTATTCTAAGGGTAGTCTTG